TAATGTATTAACAGGATTGGACCAAAAGAATCCAGAACGCAGTTATAAAACTCCTTTCCTACTTTTGGATTTTATTGGTTTTATGGCAGATTTGCAACCTGCCATGTCAATTCTTTGATTATTGGCCTATTGATTGCGTTGATTCCGACTACTTAATCAAGAGTCGTTGTTAATAAATCACGTGCTGATTTTCTATCTGAAACTAGTTAATTTATTCGTGTACTCTTCCCTGCTTCTCTACCTTCTTCTTCTATTCTTCTTTTTTTTTCTATTCTTCTTCTTCTTCTTTCTATTCTTCTTCTTCTTCCCCCTCCTCTACCTCGTCTTCTTTTTCTCTTCTCATCCTACTTTCCCACATCGTTCTTTCTCTCTTTTGAAATATGTCTTTATGTTAGTATTGTCTTCTGCCCTTTTGTATGTTCCCAGTCCCCTCCCCTTAATGGCCCTAAAATCTTAGTTTTCAGCGTTATTTATCTATATTTAGCATGAGTAACAATTGGCCCATAGATGAACCAAGTCGTAAACTAGGAAGACACACGCACACACACACTTTGACTCTCTCATGAACACATTAGAAGCAATCGCCGTTACTGACAATGTGTGAAATGCTGCTGTTAGGGATGTGTGTAGTACCGACGAAGTGTGTGGGCAGCGATGTTGTACAGGTGTGCTGTTCCTGCCAGAATCGTGCCATCCCTCCTGAGTACGTCTGTACACACACACTGCTGCTCACTGTGAAGTCCTCGCAGCCTTGTTTCTTCAAGTAAGCTTGTTGAACGAATGAGTGCAGATGTATTTCCGTGGCTATGATCTTTTTGCGGATTTTATTATTCAGTCATTTAACTTTTAATTTTATTGGATTCTGTTCCACAAATGGTTCTGTGAGTGTAAGTTCTATTAGTTATAATTACATAGTAACTTGTACTTTAACTTTAAGTAGATTTTCCAAAGTCTTTGTGACTTTTAAAGCGAGTACAAGTTAGATATGGCCGTAACAAATATCTATCTCCGACAGTACCTTATTAGTTTCTGAATGTCAACTCTTTCACTGAAATATTAGGGTTTCTGTAGCAATTTCTAGCACTAGATACATTCTTACAAATAACTTATTAAGTTTACATATACTGATTGCTGAAAAAATAAAGAAGTAGAGATGGAGACATCCTCTAGTAAGACACCATAAATGTGATAAATTCTCTGTAATTTTGTTAAATGTAAAATTTCCTTTGCCGCAACATTAAAAGATTGTGAATGTTTTAACGATCTGATTGAATTTGCAAAAATGTTTAAACATCTGATCTGTATCAGTGCTCGCTTGTTAATCCCGTTACTTCTCCTCTCTCCGCGGCAGATGTCAAGGTGTGGATATAAATTGCGTGAAACATGGCACGATTATCATAATTTCAAAAAGCTCCATTAAACCCGTTATCTGAACACACAGTGAAACGGATAAACACTGTGTGTTGTTATTTTTTTCCCTCTTCGCCCAGCTACGTCATCGAACCGTTAGGGGGAAGGAAGGTTTGAGGATCTTAGAGAATTGGGTGTGCTCATTCTTATGTACAGGTTTATTGTAGTTTCTTTAAGGACAGGTTGAACTCCCCAAACTGACTTTTTTTTTTTTTTCACAATTGTGGAAATAATTGTTTTTTTTTTTTTCAACATTACATGAAAGTGTATTAATTTCTGCACATAATAATGCTGTGTACCTACTAACATCATGGTTCTATCTTCTGCACGGTCTCACCCTTCCCCTCGCCCTGTGTTCATTATATTTAATTATTCTTTAGAGCTTTATGTGGCAGATGGAACCAGGACCTCCTCGGCAGAGGGGCCAAGCCAAACTATTTCATCTGTTGCCCCCTGAATAAATTGTGACTGGTTCGTTCTAGTTTTCTTGTCATTTTTTCATTTTTTTTTTTAAATATTATGTAGTGTTTGTCATCATATCTATACACAGCCTTCTGACACATGTTTGATATTTTTGTTCTATAGTGATGTGTCTCAGATCCTTTCTCTTGATCTCTTTCTGTCTCACTTTTCCTTCTGTTTTCCAACTGTTACAATGTAATCCAGTTTTTGTCTACTAATGGTTTGTCCAAATCTATATATATAAAAATCAATGTTTGTGTGTTTGTTTCACCCCTATAGACTCGGAAACTACTGAACAGATTTAGCTGAAATTTTCAGGATATGTTTGTTGTGATACCGGATTTTGAACCGTCGTGGTTTGAAATTCAACCTGTCACTGTTAGAGATAGGTGACCACAATTAATGCCAAAATATACGCAACTAATATTTATAACTTTAGTGATTTCTAATTATAGCCACGTTAGTAATTGCGCATGCGCCGTATTTACCATTCGCCGGCGAATACGTGCAGCCAACGCCTTTTCTAATACTAATACATAGAGTAGGTCGTGGTACAGCAAACAAGACTATCTCTATATTTGCCACAATAACCATATTAAACACGATTTCTATTTTCTGTTTTTTTTTTTCAAACAACCTTCGATTGGGGGGGGGGGGGGGGCAATCGAGGACTATCTCGGACTATCTCGACGTCGGTGCAGACAGTGACTGCGACATTAACTTCATTAACCGTGTTAGACACGTGCGATTTCTATTTCATTAATATATCTGGAGTATCTGTCTACGAGAAAACAATTGCCTGCGGTTTTGAATTGTGTTTTAATCGCGACACAGTGGTAGGGACACATATGTCTAATAGTTGTGTTCTCTTTTCGTTGTTCCGATTAAGTGGCTGCTTGGTCGAATGGTTAGAACAATGGGTTCAAGTGCGGTAGACCTGGGTTCGAATCCGCAGTAGTTAGATTTTTTTTTTACCCCGGACTAAAATAATATCCTCATCTGCTCTGTCGTGGTGACAGCACTAGATATGTTGCCTTAATATTTAAAAAAAAAAAAAAAAAAACAGTAAATGGGTAAACCATTTGATAATTAAATTTGACCATTTCGCATACTTATGATTGCATTGTTAAACTTTCCGATTGCATGGTTATGCTGAAATTTTATAGATTTTCATTTATTTTCATTTAGATTTAGTTATTTCATCTGTGTTGGAATTTTAAGCTGTGCTGTTTACAATGGCGTTCATTTCCTAATTATGGTGTTTTTTTCCTGTGTTTATTTGCTTTTCAAGTGTTGTTTTTTTTCCTCCCAACTACTTCAATGTGGGAAAGAGTTGTCGGTGAATTTGGGGGGAGGGGGGGGGGCAAACTATTAACTGAGAGAGCTTTAAGTCACAGTAACTGCTTTACCCACTTAAAGTAGCAGCAGCAGTAATAGTTGTGGTTGGGCTGTTACACCATAGTGCTCTCAAGTGAAGACCGCCGGTAAGGTTATGGCGTTCTTCTGTCGGCAAGTGAAATCCTAACCTGACCAGTCTGTGGCGACAGCACTAGCCATGCGGAACCAAATCTTCTGGCTCACGACTCTCTGTCTACTCCGATGGTAACACAGATAGCAGTGACATTATTTTAGTAGTTGTACTGGTACTTGAAGGATGATGTGGTAAATATTTCACTAGCCCTATTCACTACCTTTTACAATTCCTGCTCCTTATTTTAGTCCAGATGGACAGGGATGTCAATGTCAGTTACAGCAACAACAAAATATCGCCAGTTAGTGATTTTCAAATCCTTCGAAGAAGGAGAGAGCAGTAGTCGGTGGAAGAGGGGAGGGGGGTAATGACTTAAATTTAAGAGAACTTAAAGAGCTTTACACGTGATTTTCAAGTTCTCATTACCTAATTTGTTTATATTTTACTAACGCTACCTCCGCTTTTCTATTTTTTACGACTTACTTTGTTATTTACAAGTACAGTTGTAGCTTTACTTCCGTCTCCTATAAAAATACAAAACAGCTTAGCATGTGATAACCAAATAACCATTTTTGTTACTGGGCTAATAACACCATTTAAACGACCACTAATATAAAGACACAATTATAAGGTGCGTGTTCTAAAGTTGGAAAACCAGACTATCGCTATATCTGTGCAGAGAATGATTGCGCTGTATTAGACACGTGTGATTTCCATTGTCTTTCTTTTCCAAAAAACTTTGATGAGGGAGAGAGTAGTAGGTGGAAGTTGTGGTGGTGGGCGGGGTTCTCTATATTGAGCAGACAATGAATTTGTTTATATTTTTTAGCCAAACTAACAGTATATTTTCCCCTTCTGATGCGAGTAATCTGTTCTTAATATTAGTTAATTTCTTGCAAAGCATCTTTATTTCATTATTTGTTTATATCATGGAACAGACAGTTGATTGTCATTCTACTCAACCGTACCAGGAAAAGTCCTAAAATGTGATCAAATATCCGCAAACAGTTCTTGGTAGCACTTGTGATCAACCAACCAAATAACCATTTTTGTTGTCCATGGGTCTTATGAGTGTTCATCTAGCTATCACCTTTATAGCCAGCTATCTGCCATCACACACCTGCATGTCTAAACAGTTTATCCACATGAATCCCAGCAATTTTGATTTGCTGAAGCTTGGTATCCACTAATGCTACATTTGTCCATTCTGAACCTTCCGCAGTACTGACTGAGAATCAGTCACTATAATTTCTATCTGGATGTCACGTGAATCGGCACAGATTAGTTTATAATAACTCTTTCTCATCTAAAGGGACAACCATGTATAGCATAGAGCAGTGATTCCCAAACTATGCGCCACGGGGAGCCGCAATTTTTTCACAGGGGCGCCGGGAAATAATGTAAAAGCTTCATAATTAATTTAACCAAGACACCAATAGTCATACTTTTACCTGGTTAGGGCACCATGGAAAAATTATAATTTAAAAAAAAAACAGTGCCACGACTAAGAAAAGTTTAGGAAACACTGGCATAGAGTGTTCTTCAAGCGGTAGGTGGTTATGACATTTCTAATGTAGCAATTTCTTATTTTGTCAGTGCTGCTGAAGTGTGTTATTTGTTCTGTTTTTATCTTACAGTTGCCCTATTTGTCAGTGACATGACATCATCAGATATGACCAGACCAGCTCACAACCAGTCGTTGTCACAGGTAAACATTTTAAAAATTATAATAGTAACTATGTTTTTACCCTTTCACAACCATGAGACACGTGTCCTATAAAATTTTATAAAACCTACAGTTTTCTCTTCATCATGTAGTGATTTTATTTTAAGTTAAATAGGCACTAAGGAAAGGGAACAAAGTTGTAACAAAATAGTGTACTTACTTCTCTTCTTCTTATTCTTCTTAAAGTCCCTGCCGTGTGGCCTTCTGTCTCATGTACTTGCAATCAACTCTGACACAGATGATCTTCTATACCATGATGACAGACTGTCCAGCATCTTAGCTTTTGGTCTTCCTCTGCCTCTCCTCCCTTCACACGTTCCTACCGTCACTATGTATTCCAGTTTTCTCCTTCTCATCAAATGACCAAAGAATGTAGATTGTCTCTTTCTGATGTGGGCAATTAATTCTCTTCATGAGCCAGCCTCTTTGAAGATATCCCCATTACTCTTTTTATCTGTCCAGGGTATTTTCATCATTCGTCTATAAAACCACATCTCCGTAGCTTCAAAATAATTTTTTGGTAATCTACCAACTGTCCGTGATTCAAGCGTACTTCACATTAATGTATCAATCCTGTTATCCTTAAAGGGTTAACTTTGATAACGTCAGGTGTCACTTTGTAAACTGTTTTTCTCTTATAAAATTGAAGTATAAATGTTTATTTTATGATCTGTTTGAAGACTGAAACTCCAAGGCTTCCATTCTCTACAAAATCTGAGGGTCAGATGGTCGAGGGTGTGACCCAGGTTCATGCTGCAGCTGTGAATGGAGACAGACAGACACTTTCACGTCTGCTGGCAGGTTTGAACTGTCTGGTTATTTCTGTTTTGCATGTGTCATAAATAGCATGTCTTTTAGAGAATATGGCTGTTATCACAGCTGTCCGGAGAGACTCATTAGACTCTAGCCAGTTCCATTAGTATTTCATTTAAGATCTTGATGTTTTGTTTAGACCGCAGGTTAAGAGTTAATACTTTTATGTTGTTTACATATCTTTTTATGAATATAAATATTGAAGTTTAGAAACAAATATATAAAGAAGTTTAAAAATATTGGAAAGCTGTCCTTATAAATATTGAAAATGTTTGGATATAAATATTGAACTATGGATGCTTTTATTGAGAATGTATAGATATCAATATTCTAGAAGTTTTGATATAAATATAGAAAAATTGTGGATACAGACAGTAAGAAGTGTGGATACAAATATTTAAGAAATGTAAATAGAAATTTTAAACCACCATGAAATATTGAAGAAGTCTATATACAAATATCGAAGTAATATGCATACATGTCAGAGCAATGAATATAAATATAGAAGAAGTGTGGACACAGAAACTCTAGACATGAATAAGATAATTTAAGAAGTATAAAGTAAAAAGTAAAGGGCTCTTTCCCACGCCTTCAGGTGTACTGGGTATATAGGGCTAGACCTATATTTTATGGACCAAATGGCACTTGATGGGTGATGTGGTCAGTATCACGCTGGGCGCCTTTACTTCCCATGACTGTACCTGGTACCCACTCAAGGCGGGGTTGACCTGTGAGCCAAGGGCCCCAGTCAGGACCAGAACTCATGACTTTCTGGACTGCAGGCGAGCATATAGCCGCTAGACCACAGCAGCTTCCCGATTGAAGAAGTATACATCGTATTATTGAAGAAATATAGATGTAAATATTGAAGATCTATAGAGGGAAACATTGATGCAGTTTGGATGCCAAAAATAAAAAAGTATGGATGGATACAGGTGTTGAAGAAGCATTATTATTAATTGCTGTTGTGTGATATTTCTTATAAAGACAGCAGAGCATAGTAACCTGTCATGCATATCAAAAGATACAAAGAATAGTAACGTAAGAGAGAAAGAGACAAAGAATAATAACACTATAACCTAACATGCATGTCATATGAGGCTTCTAAGGAGCATGGGCATGAAACTGGCTACTTCATCAACGAGAAAGCATAATGAAGCGCATTCGCAACGCCTAAGCCACAGAAGCTGATTATATAGACATAAAATTGAAGAAATAATTTTTTGAGCAACCAAAAGAAGATTGTTGCTTGTAGATTAAGGGAAGAGTGTTGCTTGTAGATCAAGGGAAAAGTGTTGCTTGTATATTAAGGGAAAAGTGTTGTTTGTAGATTAAGGGACATGTTTTAGATCAACTTGAAATGGCAGGGTTCAGTTTCTGTGGCAAGCAGCATTTAAAAAAAACAACTTTCTAGATACTTTCAGACAGTGTTACATTAGTGGCAGCAAGGAAGAATCTGGGACTTCACCATATAATAATTGTAATCACATTGCAGCTAGCACTGTTAGCACAAGGGTTCCCAACCTTCCTAATGCCACAACCCTTTAAAATAGTTCTTTATGTTGTGGTGACCCCTCAGCCATAACATTATTTTCGTTGCTGCTTCATTTACTTCAGTGAATATGTGTTTTTCAATGGTCTTAGGCGATCCCTGTGGAAGAGTTTTTCTACCCAAAAAAGGGTCGCGACCTACATGTTGAGAACAGCTGTGTTAGCATGTCAGCTCTTCATTGGCTACTGAGAAAGGAGATGGAGCATGTGTGGTGATGTACCAAGTGCTGTAATATCATTTCTTGATTCAGTCATTTAGTGTGTCCCAAAATATGCCAGTTGTACCATGACATTTACCATGAAATTACCTGTTTAATAACCATGTTGTTATTGTGTTGTTTTTTGGCCAGTGTCTACAAGGAAACTGGATTTTGGTGACCAGTTTGGCAGAAGTCCTCTCATGTACTGTGTCTTGGCAGACCGACAGGAGTGTGCAGAAATATTGATTAAAGCAGGAAGTCATGTCAATTTGAAAGATAAAGGCGGGAGGACTGCACTGCATTGGGCTTCTTACAAGGTGATTTATTTCACCCTTCCGCCCTGTGAATCCTTGAAAAAATTAAAAATATTAAGTAATAATTAACAAACAAAATACGAAAATGGGTCACGGACTCATATGAAAAATAACACATTACGGGTCCTGGACGTATGAAAAATAACACATTACGGGTCTTGGACTCGTATGAAAAATAACACATTACACACATCACTAATAAATTTAATTTATGTATAAACATCAGGCAAGGCCATATATCAGCATTTACGGGGACATGACACAACTAAAAGTGACCAGATTTAGGCATGTAAATTCAGAAAATCTGTACACACAGCTGTGATGGCATTGTTGTTAGTGAGCTGGCCTGTTGAGCCAGTGGTTTGGGATTAATCCCCAGAAGTGACTGAATTTTTCAGACAGTATGACTTTGGGGTTGACCCAGCCTCATAAAGTATAGGTACCATGTAACTTCTAGAACTTTCTGGGAATTGTCTAGTAGGGTTGTTTTTTTTTTTTTTTTTTATCGATCACCGGCTGTGAATTCCAGTGGAAGATCCCGGTTAATCGTCCGCTTGGACTTTTGGCTTTCACCTGGACCTGATTTTTGCGTGTACAACCGTTTTTAATTTCCCTGCCTCATGGGCAGCTGTACTCCGACTTCGAAGGAAGACGTCAGGCCTATTTCTAGGGTGACTGTGGCCATTGTTTTGTGTGGGTCGAGACGTTGCCTGATTTGTGTGGTGTCCACTTTGTCTCCTTCGCCGCAGGTATTGCCCCCGGAGTACCCCTTTGGGGCAGCCCCCTGTGGAACAGTTAGCCCTCAAGGGAAGGCTGGGGCAGATCATGGGCATTCCCCGCCATCCAAGGAGGCTTCCATGCATGCAGAGCCGGCACATGGCGCTCTGGTTCTGGGCTCACCCAAGGAATCGTCACGTCCTGCACATGCCTGCTTGACCTCACAGCCGTATCAGGCCTCCCGCTCGACAGGGGCTGCGCCCTCTGGAAGTCAGCGGGGAGCAGCCCGTGGGTTTTGGACTTTTGTGACCACACAGATAGGTACATTCTTTTTTCTTCACACGTTGGATTTCTTTGACGAGCCGTTAGCCCGACAGAATTTTACATCCTGAATCAGGCATATCGTTATCAGTTTTGTCCCAACACTCGGGCGAGTGGGGTCTTTGGGTGTGGACATTCGGTCTTTTTTAGTTCAATACAAATTTTGATGGTCAGATTTTGATCCGTATGATCTAGTTTTGTTGGACATTTAGGCTTAGCCATCCGATGGATGGTTGCTGTTGTGGTGTACCTCAGCGCGGTGACGACGACACTGAGGGTTAACCGAGGATGAACATGAATGGCCAGCCTATAGATGGTTGCTGTTGTGGTGTACCTCAGCGCGGTGACGACGACACTGAGGGTTAACCGAGGATGTACAAGGATGGCCAGCCTATGGATGGTTGCTGTTGTGGTGTACCTCAGCGCGGTGACGACGACACTGAGGGTTAACAGAGGATGTGCAGTGAACAATGTTCTCTTTACTCCGCAGTCTTTTAACCAAGGGTTGTAATTTTGGCTGTACGTTTGCAAACCTACTCATGTTCCTAATGAGTTTTGATAACATTTTTCACCCAAGCGTTTGGGGGCGGGCTGATGAGAGCCACAAGGACACATCACCTCTGGGGGCCGCCAAACTCCGAGATCCCCTGACAGCTCTGTTAATGCTCATTTGAGACATTATCCGTGGCGCACGACGAGGACGTGCTGCAGGGGTCTTGCGTGAGGTTCCGTACAACCAGGATAGTAAAGGACTGGCGCCTGAGTGACGTACGGAGTATCTCCTTATACACATCATGTTGGACTTAACTTCCCCTCACACCTGTGACATAAATCACCGCGCCACTAGTAGGGTTATGTCTTTATATGAGAGGGAGCTTCAAACATAAACCTTAAAAGTGTAATAGTAATTATAATGATCATGCTATTGTTTTGTAACCTGTCTGTGTTGTTAAGGATGTAAGGGTGTTAAGCATGTGATAGCACGGTGCAGAGAAATATGATGACATCATAATGACAATTTCAAGATTCTATTTATTTTTTGATCAGTGAAGGTGTGAAATCTATAGAAATTCATCAGTGAATGAAGGTCCAGTATGCTGATGCATACAAGTGTATAAATGGAATAAGAATCAACTCTGGAGTTGCTGCTAAGTGTGCTTGACTCGATCGTGAAGAGTATGTTATAGAAATTCAGGGTTTTGAAACTTGTAATTTCTTTCACACTTTTAAGGTTTTCATTTAAAGACCCATTGTATATCTCCTGTATACTGGCCTAGAGTTTAGGAAGCCCTGCTACTTCACATCCCAGCGACAGAATATAAAATGGCACTACTTTTAACTTTAAACGTTGTTAGGTTTTGTAAATTTTTATTTTGGAAGTATTATTTTTCTAAAATGCCAAAGTCTAATAAAATGAGGTTGGTTAAATTGCAGTATTCCTCTGCCTGAGAGGCGAGGAGCCAACAGTCTCCACACAGTTAAACCTGATTCATCAAAGGGATGTGTACACAAAAAGCGGGTTCTGGAACAAGACTAAAGTCCAGAGGTGGATGAGCAACCAAAACTGTCAGCCAGAGTTTACAGCCAGTAAACACACAAAAACTGTGGTATGAACAGCAAATGAACAATAAATGCCTTTATATACCACTATTGCGGTGTAGGCAGGGGGGTCTTTGAGCCCAAGGATTTAAGGCTGCAGGGCTAGGGCTGTCGTCACGAATGGGCAGGTGAGGTTTTATTTTTCCCTGACAGAAAAAAATTCCCAGCCTTATTGAGGATTCGAACCCAGGTCTCCTGCACAAGAGCCCAGTGTTCTAACCAAGAAACTGCAGTACAACTGTAAAATGTGAAGAATAAATGCACAGGAAAATCTTCACTCAGATCCTTGATGTCCTTATTTAAACAAGGGGAATCTTCATGTAAATTCTCAATGTCTTTATAGCAAGAGAATCTTTACTCCTATCATTAGTGTCTCTATTTCAGCATAACAAAACATTTCTACACTTCAGTGTATTTATTATGCAGGAGAATCTGTACTCACATTCTCGGTGTCATTATTCTTTTTGTGTACAGGGGAATCTTCGTCTGATGAAGCTGCTGTTGTCCAGAGGAGCTGACTGCAGAGAGAAGGACAATGAAGGGCAAACAGCTCTGCACCTGTGTACAAGACATAAACTTCCTAAATGTATGGCACTTCTCCTACGACAGCTGCTACCTGGGGAAATCGATGACCAAGATAAAAACAAGGTGAAGCATTCTTCTTCTTCTACTTCTTCATTTTTCTCTCCTTCCTTGATTGATCGATCATTTAGTTTGTCCACTGACGGCTGCCACCTAAAGGTTTACCAGATCATCTTGAGATAAATCAACCTCATTCTAGACGGCAGACCAACAAGGCAGATCCCAGATAACTGGTTCAACCTCTAAAGAAGTTTTATTACACCCATATCATCTACACCAGCCAGGTGTAACCTGCAGTCTTATGCAGGTAAGGACAGAGATCCCCGTCCTCGTCTTTTTCGGTCTCATTCTTCTTCATTTTTTTTTTCTTCTTCTCCTTCTTCTTCTTCTTCTTCTTCTTCTTGTTCTTCTTCAGTCTTCTGAGCCAATGAGGCTTTTTGTGCTATATAAATCACCAGTCCCCATTTATCCCTGTAATCAGCCTTCTCTTTTCACATAATGTCTCCAAGTGTTTTTAGGTCTGCCTGTAAATCATCTCTCCACTATCTTCTTAGTCTGATGCTTGGTCTACTCTCATTCATCTCTTTTGTTTATATGGTCCAAGTCACGTTTATACGGTAGTCTCAGCAGTACAAAACTTTGTGCAGTGTTAGCACTCCACTGGAAACATAATTATAAAATAAACCTCCCATACTTGATAATGCAAAATGTCAATGAAGTTCCCATATAGTTGGAAATCATACACAATTAGGCATATAGCTGCTGCACATTAAGAAGCTAGTAAACCTACCTAGAATAGAGCATTCATAGTATGTGTGTGATGTAGACAGTTTGAGCTGCTTACTGGTATTACATAATGAATGACTTGAGACTCGAAATGACTGCACTAAGGACAATCGCACACATGCCTAATCTTCTTCAGTTTCCAACAAAGAGTTCTCATATCAATGGTGTCTGTGGCAAGTTGTTTAAAAAAATGTCTTTTTCCTTGCATTTTGAGTCTTGGTGTTATACAGATTCTCTAATCCTTGCTGAATCAGTTGCTAATGTTACATAAATCATGCACTGTGCATTGAATATTGTAATATAGTTTGCAGGAGGATATCACAGCACTGCTTGATTGTTTGACAATCTGAACAGTTGAATTCAATCTCCCAGTGAGCCTCTCAGGTCTCCAAATTGGGAAAGGAGCAAGAGAATAGACCTGCTTGCCCCTACCATTATGTTGTCAAAGGTGATTGTTTGAAAATGTGTGCCAGAATGTGCAGATTCAGCTGCCTGGCCTCATGCAACCGCCCTTGAGAAGATGAATACAAAAGAAGAGGAAATGCAATTAGTTAGTCATTTCAATTATATTTTAACCCTCTTAGCACGGACGGGCCGATTATCGGCCGGCGGATGTCTGGCCAAAAACACGGAACGGCAGATGATCAGCCCGATCGTGTTTCGCCTCAAACAGCTAAGAAATCTCCTACTTTGAAACACTGAAAGTGATTCATTTATATTAACTGCGGTATCAGCTTTACACATGGCGACTTTCGAGTGTTTAGTATCGAAGTGAAAGTTGTTGTTGAATTTTTTAGATAGTGACCTGAACCGCTAAAAGTATGTCTGACTCGTATGTTTCTGCCCCAAAACTTGATGTTGATAAAACATTTGAATCAAGTGATGACACTAATTCTGTTGATACTGATGCAGGATTTAGTGTTAGTAGTAATAGTGGGAATCAGATGGGGACGCTGTTGTGTTCAGACCACAGCCCAACCATGGCTCAGGGTATATCCACCCGAAGGTGTTGACACTCCGGCACATCCATTTCTAGTGCTGACTGATGGTGAAAAACACATGTCACCTAAAGATATTATTGCTGTTTCACATATATATACCTGTTTTTGACTATTGAATTGCTTACAACATTTGTAAAAAGGCCAAAGATCAATAAAAAGATTTCAAATAAAAAAAAATTTTGTTTTTAGTTTTATGTTTCAAGCATTGAAGTTGAAAATTCAAATTCATATTTTCTATTTTTAGATTTGCAAATGAGATAATTAGCATATACATCAATTAATTTTAACGATATTGTGAAAATCACGAACTTCAATCTATATCCTTCAAATAGATATATTATTTCATAGGGGTCAGAATAACAGAAATCTGTCAAAAAAATTAAATAAAGTAATAACCAAATTCACTGAAAAAATGCTCCGTGTTTTTGGCTAGACCTCTGAAAAACTTCCCGTGCTAAAAGGGTTAAAAGTTGCATACTCCGATCAAAGCAACCTGTATGCAGAATGGGAGTGAAACAGCCACTACAGCAGGCATGGGAGGCCAAGAACCAGGAAACCAGACGTACCAGGGTTCACTGAAGGGACAACATCCAACAGTCCCTGACTGACAGAGGACTGGAATGGAACAAAGCCAAAATGAAAACTTCTCATAGAGAAGTCTGACAGTCTTTCTAGAAAAACTCTACACACCAGGGTGGAAGAGAATTGACTAAGTAAAATAATTCCAACATACCAAGGGTTTGAAGTTAGCTGCAGAAAATTATACAGCAGTCCATGATATATTGATTTAACCAGTGGTATGGACAGCATACTTTTCAGAAAGCAGTGGCAAACTACTGAATTTAAATTTGTTTGGTAAAACCACAAACAAGCAATAAATGCAGGGGATGGTTTGCAACATAAGCTATTTTTTAAAATAATTGTATATATAAATTTATTCCTATAATTTGTGGGTCATATTATGAGAAGAAGGACACTGGAATATTTTGTTATCGCTGGAAAGATCTGTGGAAATAGAGATCAGAAGACAAAATGAGAAAATTATTTAGTCTTTTGTTATGACATGGAGGGTGGTCAGCCCACGAGCTGATACATGCTGTTGAAGATGGCAGATTGTGGAAAGGCATGATCACCCACGCCAGTGATGATGATAGAAATTAGTTTGTATTGTGAAAATCTTAAACATTCATCAATCCACAGAGAACTGCCTTACACTGGGCAGCATCGTATGGCAACCTGGAGCACGTCAAAATGCTGATCAAACAGGTGATGTATTTGGGTATAGTAACTCTTTATGTACCAGGTAAGCAGTGTCCTATTTGGGAGGGGGGGGGGGGGAATATACCAGCTCCCACCCAACAAGCATGTCATAAAAGTCTACTGATCATGGCCTTTATTTTGAAGATCAAGGAATTAACAGGCTGCACAAAAATAAGCCAGATCGGTTAAATGATATGCACACAAAACTTAAGTACTGGGACAAGATCAAAGTGCAAAAGTGGGGAGAAACCAGAACTTTTTGCTGAATCAGTGAATGCTAAGGAGAAACAGACTTTTATCTCGTGCACTGCTAGTCATTTCTGCTACAGATGTCTTCTGTACCATGCTGCCAAATTGTCCAATAATTCTCTCTTGGTCTTCAGTTGCAACTGTTGTGACACCAGCTCTCCTATTGTCACAGTGTACTCCTGTTTTCTCCTTCTTATAATGTGACCAAAGTATGTGGACTGTCTTTTTCTGATTTGAGTAACCCCGACCCTTTTGTTTTGTTTTGTTTTTAAAAATATATTTCAATACATCTTTATTATGTATATGGTAAGTATGGAAGTGAATCCTGGACGGTCAGCGGATTAGTTAGCACATACACAGAAGAGATGTTGTTTTATAGAAAAAAGATGAGTACCACAGACAGATAAAAGAGCACATAATGAAGATGTCTTGAAAGATAATAACACACAATGAGAACTTGTTACCTGCATAAGGATGATCCACATTCTCTAGGCATACCTTGAGAGGAAGAAATCTGGAGTACATCATGACGAATGGAAATTTGGTGGAGAGACCGGGGAAGACAAAGGCAGACAGAATTGTAAACCGTTTGATTTCATGGTTGGAGTTGTGAAAAACCTGATACAGAGGGGATTTTCAGTGCATGTGACTGAAGGCTGGATTAACTTGATGACAGATGTCACACAACCTGAAATAATTTTTTTAAAATGGCATTAATAGTCTAGAACATCTTCTTCTTCTTTGTGTTCATAGCTATAAACTGGCAGAAAGTTCTGGGTGTTCATCCACCTTCAAACTTTAGTCTTGTTCCAGAACCTGAGTGTTGCATACACACCTGTTTCACAGAACTGACTTATTTGTGTGCAGACTCTAGGTTCCTTGCCTCTCAGGCAGATGCACTTGGACTTCAGAGAATGCTTCCAATTAGTCGATACCTACGACATGCATGTTGGGAAGGCAATGGATTTATTATTGTTTTCCCCACAATAGGGCTCTGGAAACCACATGACGAATCTTGGAAATGATCTTCTTGTGTCTGAGTTAAAGATGCTATGTGAGAAACATATACAGATTAAAATTGGCTGGTGTTTAAATAACAAACTAGCTCTACTTAATCTAAGATTCACACATTAAAATGCCGGACACTAAAGGAGAAAATTGATTACACTTGGCAGCCAGTAGCGTTCACATCAGCCAGAGATTATCCTTACCCGGACAGGTCTGCAGGTTTTACCAGACTGGGGTTGCCATTATGGGGCCTCAATTATAACTTTTTGAGAAGTTGAACCAGATATCTGGAATTTGTGCTGTTGATCTGCCATACAGATAGAGGTTGTGTAGCAGAAACTGATGTCTTGCAGTGGAATATTCTACTGCACGACACTTCATGGAAAAGGTGGATGCTAATGATGATGATGATGAAAGTTAAATGGATACAACTTCATTCATTCATTTAATTCATTGTCCTGTTTTACCATTATATGTCACCTAGGGCTCAAACTCTATTTCTTCATAGCTTTCTCTCCTGTGCAGTTACTTTGATAAGATGGATATAATTCAATCCTGCACATTCAGCTTCTTTCATTAACATTTGCTTTAGAGTTTCAGTGGGTACAAAGACTAACTGTAATTTAAAACAAGCCACTGTATATGTAAATAACAAACTTACTGTACTTAATCCAGAATTCGAATATCGGAATACCAGACACTGAAGGGAAAACCCCACTACATTGGGCAGCCAGCAGTCGAGACAGGGAAACAGTTAGTTGTGTCCGGTTGATTCTGGTAAGTTTCACTTTAGTCTATCTTTAGTTTTGGCTGCATATTTTATAGATTTTAATAGAGACTTCCTGTATGAAAGCTGTTGCTTGTATAGAACTTATTGAGTGAACTCTGGTGGTAATTGACACATGTGTTTATCTATGAGTTAGCGACAGTACCTACTGGCATCTGATGTTTTTGGCCACTAATTTTACATCTGGGTACTGTAAAACTGATACCTGGCAAATTTGAATGACTTTATAATTTTTTGTTTGTTTAATTAATCCTTTTGACTCATAATCCATCCATGCACAGACACTAATTTGCCAGGTTTTGTGTTGATTTCAGTGTTGACAATGTGTGGTATGTTTCTGGAGTGGGTTTATCCTCGCTTCCACATTCTGAATAGTTTGTTTCACATCCATTACACTTTACTTATGCGGCTGATTCTCTCAACCCATTGGTAAAGTTTCACTTGTGATAGTCCATCTTGTCGGCTTGTCAGCTGTTTCCAAATGCTCCTGAATGAATACGAGGGTAACTTCGAATGATGTCAACTTGTTTGATGACTTTGACTTGTTCCCTGTACCCTGCACCTGTAATGAGAGTGTGATGATAGCCTAGGTTACACATTTTGTACCAAAATAAGAAATAACAGAGAGGACGGAAGAATCCAGATTGCCAGAGTTTGCTTTAGATGAGAGATGTGGAGAAGGGGGAGGAAGAGGACAGTGAGGAGGAAAAGAAGAAAGAGTAGAAACGGAGGAGAAATAGAAGAGATTATAATAAATGAGGAAGAAAAGGGTTATAAAAGATGAGTAAGATGAAGATGATGATGATAGAAGAGGAAGGTAAAGCACAGAATGTGGAAAACCAAATTAGAGGTTGAAAAAAAGGGGAGCACAAAAAAAAATAACAGGACAGGGAGAAAAAGATGATGATGATAGAAGATGAAATACATTTGTCTGGATTGTCCGTTACAGGAAACCACCCCAAGTGTTATCAACTGGCAGGACTATGAGGGTCAGACTGCCCTTCATCTGGCTGTTGCTGATGGCAATGAGAGTGTGGTCAGAGTCCTGGTGAGTTTCATGTGCTTGTCATCCTAAAGTTTATGGCATATGCTTGTCATCTTGCAGTTTATGTCATTCACCTGTCATCTTAGAGTTTATGTCCTAAACTTGTCATTATAAAGTCTGTGAACTTACTTGTCATCTTGAGTTTATGTCAAAAACTAGATATCTTGAAGTTATGTCATATACTTCTTATCACATAGTTAATGTCACATACCTGTTATCTTAGAGTCTATGGCATATACTCATCATCTTTGAGTTTATATCACATACTTGTCCTTTTGGAGTTTTGTCATATACTTGTTGTCACATAGTTTATATCACATACTTGTCCTCTTGAAGATTATGTCTTTTATTTGTGGTCGTGGAGTTTATGTCATTTACTTGTGGTCATGGAGTTTATGTCATTTACTTGTGGTCATGGAGTTTATGTCATATACTTGTGGTCATGGAGTTTATGTCATTTACTGTGGTCATGAAGTTTATATCACTAAACTCAGTAGCTCAGCCAGTGGAAACTGCATTAGCAAACCACTGTCGGAAGCAAAAATAAATTTGTAGCTAAAGATTTTGCCTTGCGTAGTCCTCCATATTGGATCTGAAGTCAATCTTCATAACTCATTTTTTTAAAACCTTTTTTATACTAATTGATACGTATGCTTATCTATAAGAGAGCTAGAGTAACAGTTGGGGCCTAATAGGTTTGGCCACATATGTTGTGCATGCAACCTAATCTGGCACACTTGTAGCCTCTTGATATAATATCTTCAGACTATGATTCTCATATAGCAAGCAGTCAACAATATCAATTAAACACTTCTGTATATTAATATTTGTTCTGATACTTTTTTTCAGACATCAATGAAGAATTGCAATGTGTCGGCACTTGATAATGTATTTCGTACTCCTCTACATTGGGCTGCTGTTTTAGGTAACCCTTGTTTCTTGTTGTTTGAACCCCCGCCCCCTTTTCCCCAAGCATGTTGTAAAAGGTAGCTAGACAGACATGTTTCTGCACACAAATAAGCCAAATCTGTAAAACAGATTTGCACGCAAAACTCAATTTCTGGAACAAGAACAAAGTTCAGAAGTCGACGAGCAACCAAAACTTTCTGTTTTAGTTTACAACTGGTGAACACTAAGAAGAAAAAGAGAAATTGCAAGGAGGAAAAAGTAACACATACCAAGAAAAAGAGAAATTGCAAGGAGAAAAAGTAACACATACCAAGAAAAAGATAAATTGCAAGGAGAAAAAGTAACACATACCAAGAAAAAGAGAAATTGCAAGGAGAAAAAGTAACACATACCAAGAAAAAGAGAAGTTGCAAGGAGAAAAAGTAACACATACCAAGAAAAAAAGAAATTGCAAGGAGAAAAAGTAACACATACCAAGAAAAAGAGAAATTGCAAGGAGAAAAAGTAACACATACCAAGAAAAAGAGAAATTGCAAGGAGAAAAAGTAACACATTCCAAGAAAAAGAGAAATTGCAAGGAGAAAAAGTAACACATACCAAGAAAAAGAGAAATTGCAAGGAGAAAAAGTAACACATACCAAGAAAAAGAGAAGTTGCAAGGAGAAAAGTAACACATACCAAGAAAAAGAGAAATTGCAAGGAGAAAAAGTAACACATACCAAGAAAAAGAGAAATTGCAACGAGAAAAAAGTAACACATACCAAGAAAAAGAGAAGTTGCAAGGAGAAAAGTAACACATACCAAGAAAAAGAAAAATTGCAACGAGAAAAAAGTAACACATACCAAGAAAAAGAGACATTGCAAGGAGAAAAAAGTCACACATACCAAGAAAAAGAGAAATTGCAAGGAGAAAAAAGTAACACATACCACTAAATCTTCTTAGATTTTTTCTTCATTTGCAGCCATTGCCGTAATTTCTGTACAAAAATTGGAGTAAGTAATCACCACATTGTGTGCAAGCCCACAAAAGGCCTTGATGAGAATGCTGTTACTGGCCTGACTGAAAGGTGTGATGAACAATGGAATGAAGAAAGAAGAGATAGTTTAAGACTGACACTCCTGGCATTTTTCTTTCTATCTCATCCCTATAAAGGCCGTGAAACTGGCATGTCTGTGGTGATCTGTTTTTAAAGAACATAGTTTTAATGACTGACTGACTGACTTTCTACCCCACCAGGACATCACACAAGCAATAAACACCCAATGACACAATGTGCCACCATGTGGATGAGGATTGCCGTGGAGAGGTCCCAGAAACCGCGTTCAGACAATTGGCCATATTTATGGCCTGCCTATATTGCAGCCCCTGGCAAAAGCCAGGGTGGGCTTCAAATAACAAAAAATTTCATCCTGAAAAGGACGAAACTGGATTATTAACATGGTGAGTTGTGAAAGTTTTAATGTCACTGGTTCTCTTTACATCAGTGTGGCATTTAGGAAGCCTAGATGTGAATAAATTTACCAAATTTAGCATTTAGAGGGGTTTTCTTTTGAACCAGTTGGGTTTTTTAAAGCTATGTTGACATAGAATTTTCCCGTATTCGATAGATGTTAAGGCATGAGTCCCCGAAACATATTGTTTAGGCCCTAAGGAATGTATTCCATTAAATGCTTTACTCTGTTCTTGTTTGTTGATTTAACTCCCTTTGTATATCTTTATATATTTCTACAACAAACAGAAAAGTGTTGAAAATTTACATATATTTTTTTTACACATTTATTAGTGACCTGTATGACATGTGTATGTTATTTATTTATTTTTATTTTTTTTAAAGATTTAAAACATAAGAATTCCCACTGATTCAAGACCCATGTTTTTTTTTATATTTGTGAAGTGGAAGGGTTAAAGACTGAATCGAAAAACTTTCTTTTTGGACTTTTGATCATCTGAGTTAATCAGCAGATGCTCCAGTTGGTAAATGAATGCTATAGAAAAATCAAAGTGAATTACTTTGCAAGTGGTTAAATACCTATGCTGGTTTAGTAGAGAAAAAAAAAGCAGACAGACTGGCTGGTTCTGTATCACTAGGTAATGTGTTGTGTTAATACATAACAAGACAAACATGACACGGGTCTTTTAAAAGGATGGCAACAATGTAAAACATTGAAATGGATCACAGCAGCCTAGAAAGAATGATACAAAGGAAACTGACCAGATGATTCTCCAGAACCAAATTCTCAGAAGAAACACAAGGCAGAACGAACAAACAAACTTTATTTTCAAAGGGTCACAAACATATAGACACAGACATATAGTGAGACTGATGACTGTAATACTGAAACTCTTAGCTGGTTGCTGAAAACGAGAATAGGGCATTTATGACAATGGCACAAGTGCTGTGATTTTATTTCTTGACCTTTACCTACAACTTTGAAATGAAACCTGGCCTCGGGAGCAAAGTGTGCAGAGAAAGCTATGGGAAACCACAAAGTACCTGCAGAGGCAACATCTTACCTGTGCATACAAAACTGAACGCAAAAAGAAGAAGATTTCTTGACCTTTGTTAACTTTGGCAGTCCTAAGCCACCCATTGAATGGGACTAACTCATTCCCCCTGAATTCAGTTAAAAATAATTTATCTAAAGCAACATCACATGAGCTATGGCTTCCCCTTTTCAGGTCATTCAAAGATCGTGGCCATCTTGTTGGATAGTGGAGCAGACAGTTCCAGCTCAGATGCTAATGGGGCTACAGCTCTTCATTATGCTGCTCAGAATAATTACAGTGTGAGTTGCTATTGAGAGTTAATAGTCTTTATTATGCGTGTGTTTTCCTGCTTCTTCTTCATCTTCTTCTTCTTGTCCTCCTCCTCATTCTTCTTTTTTTTTGGTTCGCATTTACCTTTTAAGGTGCAGATGGCATGTTATTTTGTGGCTTAAATCCATACTGTGAAATCTGCAACTTTCAGCCCAAACATCAGATTTCCACCAAGCCCAACTTAGTTACCTTTTATTAAATGACCTTTGAGGAGCAGTGGGTGTATTTTTTTCCTTTTAAAATATGGCCCTAGATCCCAAACAAGAAGTTATATTCATTATCTTGTGCCTGCTCAGAATAATTAGAGTGTGAGCTGGTGTTGTTAATGTTGTATTAATTTGAGGAAGCTGCGTGGTCTTGTAGCATGGGGTCCACCTCGAGTGCTGGATGTCCCAGGTTCAAGCCCGGGTGAAGGCTGGGATTTTTTCACGTGGACTTCTAGTAATTTCCCCTGTTCTCTGGTGGTAAGATCTGATGCCCGTGTGATTTGTTTCGAGCGTTTAAAAAAATCCTTGGCAGTTGGAAGTCGAAAAAGAGTAGCCTAACGGCACTGGCCCCGGTAAAATTTGGATTTTAAAAATCTACCAAGAAGTATTGCAGGATCTTTGCCGGTGCTACAGAGTTCGTGCACTGCTCTGAGATTCTTCGGATTCAGACTTGAGTTAGAAGTAGAAAGGAGCACTTATGGGTTACTATCCTTGTGCCATGATGTTGATCCATCGTCTAAACCTAATCTAAACCTAAATGTTGTATGTTATGCATGTTTTCATTAACTAGTACCTGTGCAGAATATAGGAAATAAAATGATATGGCAGAATCACTAATAAGAAACTTGTGGAAAGAACTACAAAAATTCTAATGAATATAGAAGTGAGGAAAAGTTGCTGGCTCTGAGTAAGACACATGGAGCAAACCTGATAATAGCATAGCTAGAATGTCCTTGCACTGGAACCAACGGGGCTAAATAAATACTATGTTACCCAAAAAATGCAGAGAGAAGAGAATGAAAAAATATGCTGAATAAGATATGGAAGGAAGGGGGTAAGCCACGCATGATGAAGACCATACTGAGAAGCAGCTGGCCAAGTGGTAAGGGTGCTGAACTGGCATATGGGAGAACTGGGTCAAATTCTTAATAAGGGATAGAGATTTCTTTTTCTGTGAGGGTTAGAAATAAAAATCCTTACCTGAACAGCTCATGGTGATTGCAATAGCCATGCAACCTTTACCCTGTCACCCACCCTACAAGGTTGGTAGTTCAAAATGTTTAGACCTCTTTTTTTAATGTCATGACGTCAGTGGGGGTGGTAAGTATGCTTATTTTACAGCTTTTGTACTGTTTGCAACTGCATAATGTGTATACATGATGGGTATAATTATATCTACAACAAGTTTCCTTTTTAGTTAATATTTGGGGTGAAAACAAAATGGATTTTATGGTTTGTTATTGAGATGTCCTAATATATTTATGAGGATGTTCCTTTGCTGTCTGTGGCTGTGTCAACTAAACTCCCATTTTCTTAGTACAAGATCAGACAAGCAAGTATTGGTTTGTTCCTCTTGTATTTAAATGTTTGCTGCACATGATGGCAAAGCTTAGGCAGCCCTGGTGCAGTTTTAGTTGAGGGCCTAAGCTCTAGTGGGGGACAAAAGGCATCAGAAAGAAGTGAAGGATTCAAAGAAGACTGGTTTAATCAGATGATCCGCCCGTCTCTCTAGCGTAGTTGGCTAAACCGGATATTGCGTGGTGAGCGGGTGACGAACTCCTTGTGGTCCAAGTTCACTCCCGGGGGTGGGCAGAAAAGCCACATTTCTCCCAGATGTACGGTATTTAAAATGGAATCAAGGCCGAAAGGTTGTGATATCCATAATACTGAGCCTAAGGGTTAACAACTCATGGCTTCTGGATACTAAAACAAACAAACAAACATTAGATGATCCCAGCTGGTATCCACCATTTGAACAAAATGAAACAGTGATCATGCTTTTCTTGAAACACAGGACACGGTATCAGTGTTCCTGAGATGGGCCTGTGCTGATGAAGCTGATCTTGAGGGACGTACGGCCTTCATGTGGGCTGCTGGGAAGGGGGCCGATGATGTCATCAGGGTATTTTTAGAACACGGTGTGGACATACAGCAGGAAGACAAAACAGGGGGTACAGGTAACTTCAGTGTGTTTACTCGTTTAAATTTTCTTCAGCAGATGTTATTTTTGACTGTCTTTTTTGTTTTGTTTTCTCAAACCCATACTTTCATATTTTACTTATTTACTTGTGGCTGGCCACAAGTTGTGATTACAACATCGGGCTCTCATGCAGGAGACCCAGGTTCGACCCTCGGTAAGGTGATGGAGTTTTTCTTTCGGGGACAAATAAGACATCCTAACCTGCACAGTCTGTGGGGACAGCACTAGCCGTGCCGCCTTACATCCTCAGGCTCACGACACCACTACCTTCTCTCCCCCCCCCCCCCCAAGGTAAAAATTGTTGTAACAGTGACTTACTACTGAGTCCCTCCTTTTCTACCTTGGGATGTAGAGGTTGGCCAGAGAGATCGTCAGACTTCTCTGTCTGCAGATTTTTATTTTTTTTTTATTTTGTCTTTGCTCCATTCGAGTCTCCTTTCATTTAGGGACTGTCAGATGTTGTCTTCTCAATGAACCCTGGGTCCCCCTGGTTCCCTGGGTCCCCCTGGTTCCCTGGGTCCCCCTGGTTCCCTGGTTCTTGTCCTCACATGCCTACTATGGTAGCCAGTTCTCTCCCATTCCGCACACATGTTCAAACCATTGTAACTGTGACTGATCCACTCGAGTTTGTAAGGCCTCGGTTTCAAGATCCTGACGCCTTTACTTCCCAGGCCTTTACTTGCTATCAGTTCAAGGCTGGGTCAACCTAGGATAGACAAATTAGACAGAATCAAATTTGTGGTTGTTGAGGACATGTCAAGAGTAGAAATAACATGGTGATAACTGTTAAGATTGATGGGGAACAAGAGGCAAAAAGATGAATACCTTTATGGCTTGTCCACATGAACTTCACCATACAAGAGCACTGACATGATCCCTGAATCTGGTGATCATGTAATATAGCAGACCATAATCAAATATTCTCATCAGATTGGCACATGATGATGACACAGTCAAGACATTAAAACTAGAAGATTATTTTTTTTTTAAGTTTATAATATAAACATAGTATCGCCAAAACTAAAACCACGGTGATCTCAAGAGAGGAGAAGAAACACCAGATCATCATGGGACGGTATGCATTGGAACAGGTCCTAGCACTGTATTACCACTCCTCGACATCTGAAGCAGTAAAAGAAGTGGAGAAGAAGATCTATGTGCCTAGTATGCCTAAAAGCTTCAAAAAGAGACCTCTAGTTTATCTTACTGATTTGCCTAATTATTGTATGGTTTTAAAAAGAGTTGATTTTATTGGTGTGTTTTTTTTCCATTAAATTATTTGCATTCTTCTCAGAAATCACGTTTCCACTCTGAGTAAATGTTTTTCTGCTTATCTGTTTGTTGTTCTTATCTCAGATGCACATAAAACAGGTTCTGTAAAAAAAAAAAAAAACTTCAATATTTTTATTTTTACTCCTTTTCATATTGTTTATTGGTGAGTATTTTTTGCTACTTTTGCCAAGGTAATTCTTGTTCTTATCTCTGCAAAGCATCTTACATCAGACATAATGGCAGCTTTTAGCAACTTTCTCACATGCAGGGAAATTATCTTATGGCTTTTTCTCTTGGTGATGACCATAATTACTGCATTTAGTTGTTTAATAGAAGTTACAATAATCTTCTCTTCTCTCGTCTTCCTCTTTTTTTCTTTTCATTCTCCCTGCCAGTGATTTTCAGAAAAGAAGGTGACAGACCTATATGAAGTCTGTGGTGCGACATACATGTCTTCTATTGTTCCACTTAGCTTGGTTGCAGTTGCAATGCCAAGTGGCAAGACTTGGGTTCTCTCTGCTGCATGCAGCAAGCATGTCTGTAAGGCATGTTCAGTATTCTGGGGAGCTGTCCACATGGACAAAGTCTGAATCTCTAATGTTGAATTTCCTGTACATATGAGTGTCTGTGTCCAGCTTAACTTACTACAGTTGTGTAACACTTCTTCTCTTCTTTTTTTGTTTTGTTTCAGTGAAATGTTTGGGGGGGGGGGGGGGGGGGGGGGGGGGAGGAGGAATGTAAGGATCTTCTTTGTGCTCTTTCTAATGTGTTGATCCTCAGTGGGTTTTTTTTTTTTTTAAAGTCTGTTACAGATGCAGTCTTTCCATGTTTTGCCTGGTCTTCCCTTTGCTTTATTTATTCAGGATTACTCTCTGCAGCTGCTGGTACCAGGGCATTCTTGTCAGATGGCCAAACCATCTTATCTGTTGTTCTTTAATCAGTTGTATAAATTGTTTCAGTACTATTTTTTTTAATAACCTCATTGATCTTTTTTTTTTTTTAAACTGGCCAAGGCTACAAATTACTTCTTCTTTTTCTCTTTTAGTTTTTCAGGATAGAGTTTAAGAGAATTCCATTGATGAGTTTATTTTGTAAGAAAATTTTGAAAACAGATAATTTTTTGTACAATTTTTACGAGGGGAAAGGGTGTTGAAACCTGACTCTTATGATTCTCATCTCTTACACTACTCTTCTTCTTCTTCTTCTTCTCTTCCACCGTGTACCTCATCAAAGTGTCGGGGGAGATGTAATATTCGTTGATGAGCTCTGTTCAAGAGCACTATTAAGACTGATATTTCTGTAAGGCTGTTATTAATGCCATCACTCCATATGATATTTCTGTAAGGCTGTTATTAATGCCATCACTCCATATTTTCCGAGGTCTTCCACTTGCTCTATACTCATTGTAACGTTTTAGTGTAACCTGCTGTGACAGATAGTACCAGGGCATTCTTGTTTGTGGTGTCCAAACCACTTTAGTCCTAGCATTCGTCTGATTTTTGATTTCGCATTCTGTCTTTCCTTGAAACTCCTGTTGCTCTTCTAAGGCATTTCAACTCTGTTATCACAATTTTTGCATTCATTTGAGGATGTAAGTGTCCACATTTGGCATTGATAGCATAGTGTGTTGCAAAAAAATATTTCTGATATGATTCACTCTAGTGCTCCCGGGTATCTGCTTGTGTGTCAACAGGGGAGATAGTTGCCCCATTACTTGATTAGCTTTGGCACATCTCGAGCTAATTTCTCTGTCCAGTTTTCCGTCGGATGTGAAAATTGCTCCCAGATACTTAAATTCCTCTGTTTGTCTTAAGTTGATGTTTTTTAATTTTATTTCTAAATTGTCTTTCTGTCTTCCTATCACCATTGTCTCTGTCTTCGAAGTGCTTTATTTTTTACACTGCTCTAAAGGTATTAAATGCAAGCACTAAAGACATAATGTCCTATTTACATTTTAAGCTCTCCACGCTGCAGCTTTATCTGGCCACAGCACAACAGTCAAACTGCTGCTGGAGAGTGGGGCCAAGTTGGAAGTAACTGACCAAGCCAGGCACACACCACTATTTCGAGCCTGTGAGATGGGCCATATGGATGTGGTCCAGACCCTGATTGATGCTGGAGCCCGGGTGGATGTTCTGGATCAGGATGGAAGATCTCCACTTCATTGGTGAGAGTTGATGATTTGTTGCAGGTTTTAGTTGCAGACGAATAGTGGGGGAGGATACTAGCCTTAGCCAAAGGTAAGAAAATGCAACCCACAAACGTAATATTATGGCAGGGCAGACTAGGTCCTTAGTCTTGGTTGGCAGCTGGACTAGGAGAGAAGCTTTGAGAGATGGACAGACAGAGCATTGTTCTTCTGATCCAGTAGCTTCTGCAGCCTGCTTTGTTCTAAACATACTGGTATTACATTTCCTTTAGAGTAAATGAGGCAGATCATATCAGTGGGAAACTCATGGTCTCTACAGTACTGCCAAAGCTTTGTGAAATAGAGTCGCTTGGGCTCTGATTCCCATGCCTTCCTATGGCAGACTTTTGTCTGGAAAGTCAGAAAGGTGGCCTCCAGGGGGCCTGCTTCACTTCAGTTATGTGGTATAATATGGAATATATATTTCTGCATTTGTTACAAGAATTTATTTTTCTTTTTATCTTACAATCTACTTTAAAAGAGAGTATGCCTTATCTAGGAAGACTGGCTGTATGGATGAGAGAGAGAGAAAGAGATAGAGGAGCTAAAATAGATATGTACAGAGAATTATTGAAAGAAAGAGTGTATGAGAGAAGGGGAGAGAGAAAACTAGAAGAGTGGGTGGGAAAAAAAAAAAAACAATTTAACGAAAAATTTTTTTTCAAAGAGTTAGGAATTCGGCAAGCAACCAGCTTTATATTTGGCCCTCCCAATCATTTGTCTAAAGTTAAAGTCGAGATGATCGACTTCATTGCAACGGGTTTTATCCCATATGGCTCGGTCTTTCTCCTCAGAAGAATTAGTTGCCTACCGAGAGCGCCGCACAGTGCACGAACTCCGGGCCCAGGCACCTGTCTGTCACACATCAATTGTATGTTATCTATAAATAATGTGAAGTTTGTGTATAAATAAACTGAATTATAAGTAGACATGCAAAAGCAAGTATCACAAATACATACAGTCACTATGTATATATACATAAACATAGCCACATACATAAACATAGCCACATACATAAACATAGCCACATACATAAACATACTCATGTATCCATACAAATCTTGGTCATGTGTGACTGAGCTACTGTATAACAGTAGTCGGTACTGCCTATTTTTTCTTAACAAATATGGGGGTGTATACCAAACCTGAAATTGCACACTGTGCCAATGTTTTCAGGTGGAAGAAGGCATTGTGGAGGATGCTAGCCTTATTCTAGGAAGAAGAAATGCACATTGAAAACAATATTTGGCCGGGCAGACCAGGCCCTTGGTCTCGGCTGACAGCTGGTGTAGGAAAAAAGCTCGACGAACAGAGCACAGCTCTTCTGTTTCTGCTGCCTGATTTTATTTAACACATGTGGGTGTTAACTTTCCTTTGTAGTTAACAAAGCAGGCTGAGAGATGGATCATGGTGCATGCACACAACATGGTCTCTGGAACATTGCCCAGGTTTTGTGCTATATCAGACTTGTGTTCTCAGCACTCTTCTTTACCGCAGCAAAACTTGGTCAGCTTTTTTCGCACCAGGAGAAAACAGCTAAACAGTGTTCACATGCGATGCCTAAGAAATCAAACACTGATGTATTGGAAAGAGCAGATATCACAACATTTGTCTCAATACTTCTTTTTCTTCGTGTTCACCAGCTTTAAACTTTGGCAGAAAGTTCTGGTTGTTCATTCACTTTTGGACTGCAGTCCTGCTCCAGAACTTAAGTGTTACGTGTGCATCTGTTTTACAGATCTGACTCATTTGTATGCAGACTACTGGTTCCTTGCCTCTCAGGCAAGTGCACTCCAACTTTAAAGGAAGGTCCCAATTAGTTGACTCTTACGACATGCTTTTGGGTGGGCAGTGGGTCTATTCTTGTTTTTCCCTATAATAGGGCCCCTGAACCAACACAGGGAATGTCTCAATACTGAGTCTCCAAAGGCTGAGATAGCTGGATCACACCTGGAGAACGGAGAATGGTAGAGTCCCTAAGGACATCCTTTATGGGGAATTAAAGATGGGTGGAAGATGTCAAGGTTGGCTTCTACTACTATATAAAGGTGTGCACAAGCAGGACATGAATAATAAGCTATTGAGGTAGATTTGTGGGAGCAAATTGCCATGGACCATGTTGCATGGTCTGGTCTGGTAGTCCTAGTTTCAGCTTCATAGCAAACGGGTCACCCCATCTTTGCTCCGCTCCCGTGCCAACGAAAAACACACAGAATGTTTATCACAGTCCCTTGCGGAAAGATTGACAGACTGCTGTCTCAGCATCTAGCATACACTCGCATTAAAGCATATGGTAGCTATCCGAAGTGCTAACACAAACAGTCCGACATTAGAAATGCAGTTTATCATTGATGGTAGAAGAAGTCACCAACAGATCTGCAGTTGCCCATGCGATCAATTTTAATCACGTACGGGCACCACCAAAATTGCGACGACGGACATCACGCCATTTTCTGAATCTACAATTCACACCACCACGTTGACCACAGTCAAAAAATGAAATTCCAAATTAAATCCGCAGCTCACAGTGTCACGCCATGCATTCAACTCAGAAGCTGGGCGACGAAACTATATCCAGTCTACAAATGGAACAAAAATGCATCGGCCACCCTCTGGCCGAAGCAAAAAATTTGCCTCGGATCCAAAAACAGTGGCTCGCCTAGCGCCCATTTGGACCGGGGGAGGAGGGGGGGGGGGGGAGAGGAAATCATGAAGAGAATGGAAATAAATGAAAAAACATAACTGCAGATAGGTTGGGACCTGAATGTCTGAGAAGAGTTAGTTGCATATCCTTTACAGGAAATTGCACAACCAACTCCCGCATGTTTTGCCTTTTGTGGTTTTTCTAGGCAAATTTTACGTTCAGTAGTTTGCCATTGCTTACTAAATGGTCAGGTCTTGGTACCACTGTTGAAACTAACACACAACAAACCATCTGCAGCTGGGATCTAACCCGGCATTACGAATCGCATTCACAACGCCTAAGCCACAGAAGCTGACACCTGAGAAGAAGTTCACTAAATGCATGTGATGGTAACAATGGTCCTGGAATTCCTTGCTCTAATTGTGGACAACTGTTCTTAATGCAGGTGGGTCTAGTCACACTCACCATTACAATGGGCTGTGAGTTCCATGCTTCCTTATAGCGCAGTATAACACTGTTGTCTGGAAAGAGTGACAGGTACCAACAACATAATACACATACATACATACATACATACATACATACATACATACATACATACATACATACATACATACATACATACATACATACATACATACATACATACATACATACATACATACATACATACATACATACATACATACATACATACATACATACATACATACATACATACATACATACATACATACATACATACATACATACATACATACATACATACATACATACATACATACATACATACATACATACATACATACATACATACATACATACATACCCACACACATATATAAACACATATATAAACACATGCATGCATATTCACCTGCTTTCTTACCTACACATATGCACATCTATACATCTCTGACAATTGTTTCTTGAATGTCCTCATTTGGAAACATCTGGTGTCACTATGAGTTACTATTGCCCTTAGGGAAATGTGTAGTAGTAGTACTGGGCATGTCGCAAGAGGCGACTAAGTGTAGGGTATGGATTTCCAACACTTCACTTTCAATCCCCCCCCTCCCCCCAGCCCCTATTTTCATCCCAACTATGACCAAGTCTGGAAGGGAAGGGGGGGGGGGGGGGTATAGTTTAGGTTAAAGATCTATGCTCCATTGTTGGTAAAGGTTGAAAAAGGCTATCTGTGAAATTAACGTATAGTTCTGGTATTTTTGAATAGTTAGAGCTTCCCTTGTGTGGTTCCGGGGTCCTTTTTTTGGGTGGGGGGGGGGGGGGGAGAAAAGAATAGACTCATTGCCCCTAACAAGCATGCTAGTTAGGAATTTATTGAAATGGGATGTGTTGGGCTGAAAGGCAATGATATTGAAGCTTAGCTGTAAACCACAACACAAAAAGAAGCTAGAGCTGTGTGTGGTGGTCAGACCAGTAAAGATTTTGTTTTATTTCTCTTAGGGCAGCTTTGGGTGGCCATGCCTGCATCTGTCAAATACTGATCAAGTGGGGCCTGCATCCAAATGTTAGGGATCAATCACTGTGAGTAGTGCATGTGCTATTGTCTTATGTTTATTTGAGGGATCAATCACTGTGAGTAGTGCATGTGCTATTGTCTTATGTTTATTTGAGGGATCGATCACTGTGAGTAGTGCATGTGCTGTTGTGCTATGTTTATTTGAGGGATCAATCACTGTGAGTAGTGCATGTGCTGTTGTGTAATGTTTATTTGAGGGATCAATCACTGTGAGTAGTGCATGTGCTGTTGTCTTATGTTTATTTGAGGGATCGATCACTGTGAGTAGTGCATGTGCTGTTGTGCTATGTTTATTTGACGGATCAATATCATAGGGATCAATATCATGCCACACGGGTGTAACCCATAAGTGCTTCGTTCTACTTCTAACTCAAGCCTGAGTCTGAAGAATCTTAACAAAATGCTCGGACTCCGTTGCACTGGGCAAGGATCCTGAAATACTTTGGGTAGATTTTTAACTCCAAAATTTGCCCAGGCAGTGCGGTTAAGCTACTCTTTTTTATTTCCAGCTGCCAATGGATTTTTTTACGCTCGCAAGAATACACATGGGCTTCCGATCTTACAACCCAGAGACAAGGCGACAAGTCCATGTGAAAAAATCCTAGCCTTCACTGGGGCTTGAACCCAAAACCTCCTGCACTTGAGGCGGCCACCATACCGCGAGACCACTCAGCCCCCCATTGCATGTCCTGTGATCATTGATGTGTTAAATCTCAAGATAAAGAAACAGTTATTTAATTATTCATCACCATCATCCTTTAACACTGTGTTTCTGGGTCACCATTGCTGACTCAGCTCCCTCTACCTTTGATGGTCACATGCAGTGGACTTCATGGTTGCATGTGTAAGGCCTGTCTAGTCAAACATTCTCTATGCAGGTCTTGACTGGTCTGCCTCTTCTCCTCTTGCCCCGTAGTACTGTTTTTAAGAGGTTAGATCTTATTACATGTCCGGTCCATCTCATTTTCTGTCTTTTCATTGTAGTTAAAACTGGTTTATGGTCGCCATTGTGCTGGTTAATTATATTATAATTGAATTAGATGGATTTTTCTGCCGGAACCAAAAATAAATTCATAAATTTCACAATCCCTGATAAGCACAAAAACCGGGACCCAGTATGTAGCATGCTCCCGTAAATCCGGCTTAACCAGCATGGCTAAAGTGACTTGTTTATGAGAATCCTTGCTATGAACACTGACTTTGTTGGCACGTGCGCAAATATTTTATAGGGTCACCAGTAGCTATAGTTAATTAAAAACATTAGCATTTATGGATATTTTCTTGTGATTAAACACTGTGTGTTTAGAAATTACATCATGAGTCCCGTTAGTCACATTAGTCTGCAGCGGCATAAAAAAAAGATGTAACATATTTGATTCTCAGCTACATTCATTTTTTACTGATTGCTTCATTTTATCAGTGTGTAATCTTTTGTTTATTTATGTCTGAAAATGGGATTGTTGGTTTTTTGTTTGTGTGTGAACTGTATAAGATCAATCGTTCTTTGTAAAAAGGAATATTTTTTAATTAATATTTTGCGTACGTAAAAGAGGCAATTGGATATGTAGTGGTGAAGCGAAAAACTATAGTAAGTTGTGATAATGGGAAAGTTGAAAGGAGTAGATGTTAAGACAATTTGTCCTAATGGCATAGAAGAACATGAGACAGAATCCCAACATCACATGACGTGGACTATGCAAATAAGAAACAAGTAGGGATACAATTATCACAGAGGGATGTATTTTGAGAAAGTGGAGCAAAGGAAGACCAACGGTATAGATGAATATAACCCATTTACCCTATGCAATTCTTTAAAATTTATTATTCAAAATGTTGTTAAAGTAAAATACCTCTTATAATTCTCTGAAACTTTACCTTGAGAAATTATTGTTGCAGTCACAGCCAGTACCAGAGCTGTTATATAGGCATAGTGGGCACTGCCTGTAGACTTAATGTCATCGAAAACCCATAAATGTCAGCAAAACAGCTTTCTTGGGTCAGCAGGGTTGAGATATGATAGATTTACATATGATAGACACAGAAGTCATCATCATTATGTACCAGGTCCTTTGCAGAACGTCGCTCTCATCACGGTCTGCCTGAAAGAAACTCGGTCTCTTGCCAGCTCTTCTGCCTTATGTACTTTCATACTCAAGGAGTCACTTATATCATGTGCTCATCTTCGTGTCGGTCGGCTCATGCCCCGCCTTCCTGGTACCATGCCTTCTGCTTTAATTCTTTCCAATCCGTCGTGACGCTGGATATGACCACAATATTTCAGCTTCCAAGATACAGAAGTTGGACAAAGAAAAACAAAATAGACACCGAAGTGGGAATGATCTGAAAAACATTTAATATGATAAAATGGAATATGGGCATCACCAACAACCCCTATATAATGTTTACACTACCTAGCAAGGAAATGATGACAAGTTAAAGGATTTGTCTTCATCCAAAACAATAGGCAACAATTGAATAACTTTAACAATATGCAGTTGATGGCCTCTATCATTGGCAGTATCATTTTCTGTAACAGCAACATTCAGCAATGTGTCTCTGTTTTATTGAACAGAAGAGCTCCACTCCACTGTGCAGCTTATGGAGGTTATGTTAACTGTATGTCAGCATTGATGGAGCATGGGGCGGATCCTAACTCCCAGGACAAAGAGGTGATAATTTATTCTTGTTAAATCCTTTCTGCTTTGTTGTGGGGGGTATATAACGAGCATATATTTGTGTGTATTTTGTTTTTCTTTGCCATTTTTCTATTTGAATTTTGCATTTTCACAAATTCTTGTAAAGTTCCCTATTGTGACACTTTTAAATTGCATTGCACACATAGCAACTAAGAAAAACAGACTGGTAGAGAGATAGAAATAAGCAAAAGTAGGCAATAACTAAAGAGAAAAAGATAGAGAAGTAGAGAGAGAAATAGAGAGAGACAGGACCATAGAAAGACAAATAATGGCAATCAGAGAGCTACAGACAATAAGACAAAGAGAGAGACTGAGGCAGAGAAAGAGTGACTTTTATGTATTGATTCTGCCTTACCAGATATTTCGCTGTGAAATATTTCTTATAGTTGTATTCACCCCCCCTCCTCCCCCAACCAAATTAACTGATTCATTTGTATGTTCTCCTTTCCACATTTAGGCCATGATACTTGTACCTTCTCTTTGCAGGGAATCAAGATTACCCTTGACACATTAATCAAAAAAGGAAATATAGTCTGTGGATAAGCCCCATTACGTAGGGACAAAGCAATCCCTGCAGCGTTAACCAGATAGGGAATTTAGTCTGTGGATAAGCCACATAACGTAGGGACAAAGCAATCCCTGCAGCAATAACCAGATAGGGAATTTAGTCTGTGGATAAGCCACTACAAAAAGGGATATTGCAGTCCCCCAACAAAAACCAGAAATGGAATCTAGTCTTCGAATAAGCCACATCAAATAGGGACCTTGCAATCCTAAAGCATTAGTCAGATAGGGAATCTAATCTGGTAATTAGCCATGTCACAGAGGAACGTTGCAGTCCCTGCAAAAGTAACCAGATAGGGGATCTAGTCTGTGGATAAGCCACATCAGATGGGGACATTGCAGTCCCTACAACATAACCAGATATGGAATCTAGTTTGTGGATGAGATTAACTATGGACCCAGCTTATGAGGAAACAGTATAAAGATCAAACACACAAAAATGTTGCAAAGATTTGCATATCAGGTATGGGAAACAGAAAATTATACAGAAGATATTTTAATTTTCTAAATATATTTAAATGACAAAGCAACAGATATTTTTAAAAAACAATTTGGCTCACTATCTTATCACAAATTAGTGTTGACATCAAGGCAGTGAATTGGTGGTTAAATAATAAATCTCCCTTAGTTTAAAAAAAAATGTTCCTTGAAAATATGTTTTATTCAATGGTTATATACAATATTTGATGTTGAAAATTACCATTTTAAAAAAAAAAAAAAAAAAATTTTTTTCACCACATTGTACTGTCATCCAGAAAGCATATATGAATAAAATGTCAGCCCGAAAGCTTACGGAAAATAGTACCAAAATGGAATGCGTAAATTTTACCAGAGAAACAAACAAAATTGAACTCATAAAAGCTTATAATAAAAAAGGGTTTTTAAATTTTTTTTTTTTAATTACCCGTATCCTACCTTTTAAAACAAGTCCTAAATGATTTTTCAGGGCATGACTTCCCTCCACTGGGCCTGTTCCAAAGGACACCTGGATGCAGTCAAACTGCTCATTGAATACAATGCTTTCCCTAACCATATGGAGTTCACAGAGGACAGGTAAAATGTCTTAAAGTTTTCTTTTGCCTGATGTTTCACTTTCTGACATTTTTTTTTTCAACAGAATAAGTTCACTTTCACTACAGTAAAATTTTGTTAACATGAACGTCCTTAAGATTGATTTGATTCAAGAACCCACATCACAGCACTCGAAGCATTCCCATTAGCACTCCATCCCATCTTCAGCAGCCAGCGAAGAGTTCAGATACTAATGGTGCCAGTAGCATTCTGATTAAACTTCCGTCAGGCCTTTCCTCTGAGCCTCGAGCATCTGCCAGAACCTCTCGCCACTCCCTTCTGCATCAATCTCATCAGACTGTGGTGATCCATCTGCTCCTCCGAACTGTACACGCTCCTTAACTTTTGGTTAACATGAACAACATTGGATGCCAGCAGAGATTTATTTCTATTAGTTCTTGGTCAGCAAACATTTTTATTTTTCACACAAAGTCTTGAATTTTCAGTCCCTTTTGCATTAACAAGATTTTACTGTAGAAACTAGAATTTCCTTTCCACTGTAGTTGTGTTAGTATTTGTGTCTCTTCAGTTTTTTTTTCTTGTTTTCTGATTCAACATTTGTAACCAATCTATTCGGTCTTGTTTGCTTTCTCCACATTCTTGTGAAGCTGAAATTTTGTGTCAGTGAGTGTCATACTCCTATATAGACTAAGATAAGAGGTGGAGATACAGCCAGGGATAGAAATCAAGAGATGAAGACAGAAGTACAGCAAGAGAGAGACAGAGCAACAGAGGCATAAAGAAAACCAGTAAGTCACTTTGAGACAGCAAAAAATACAGATAGAAGTCTTAAAAGGAAAAAAACAAATAGAATGAGACAGACGCAGTGGAAGTTTAAAAAAAAAAAAAAACACAGAGATGAAGGTATTGTCAGAGATGGGCAGAGATTTAAATAGAGTAAGTAATAAATGTATAAAAACAAGACAGATGGAGGTAGTTTGTCATAGAAACAGGTAATGTAGGTAGAGATAGACACACAGAAACAGATTCCAGTTTTGTGAGATGCAGATAGAGACATACATATGGCAAGAGAATGAGAGCAATAGAGTCTTTTCTAGACAGATAGAGGGAGTGCTAAAATTGAGAGGATCGACTTCATTAAACCAGGTTTTATCACATAGGGCTCAGTCTCTCTCCACTAGGATGACTAGCTGCCTGCCGAGAGCATTACAGAAAGCACAAACAATGAAACTCAGGTGACAATGTCAGGGGCCTCCATAGTAACTGCACTCATGAACTGAACGAAACAGCCAGGAAATGAACCCACGTCCTTCAGAGCATGAGGCAGCTGGCTTGACCGCTTTGCCATGGAAAGCTCCTTGGAAGGTAATATGTGTAAAATAAAGAGACTGTTCTATATAAAAACCTGCCAGGTGTAATTCATGTGTTGAAAACTCCTACTATATCATCCTAAAATGCTGTGTTACTTGGCTTGATGCACTGTCTAGAAGTGTTGCAGCTAGATTTAGAAGTCTTGCAACTAGATTATTATGGCCTGGAGAAAACGATGCAGCTGGGAGTGACCAGAGGGTCTGGCCGGCTCACTGCACTCAGAGGAAAGGCAAGATAGACATATAACAAGACTACGAATGGTACCATTAGTATTTTAACTCTGCGCTGGCTGCTGTAGATGGAGACAAAGCGCATATGGGAATACCCCAAGCGCTGTAATGTTAATTCTTGACTCATCATAGCTCTAGAAGTGTTCCCTTGTTGCAGGTACACTCCTCTGGACTATGCCTTGATGGGAGAGCACCATGATGTTGTTCAATACATGATTGAACAGGGGGCTTTATCCATCACCGGAATACAGGATATTGCAGCACAGACTATCCAGGTGTGTACTTGCTGGAAATCTAACTTTTCTTTATTTTAAATGCTATTAGTCTTCAGGATACAGTTGTTTTTTTTCATTGCCATATTCGTCATCCTCCTACTCTGCTTCTTCTTATTTTATTGTTTTGTTTTATTTTCTCCTTCTTTATTTTCTTCTTCTTCTTCCTATATCTCCATACTTCTCCCTGAGGCAAACAGTAGCGGTTACGACTGTCTTTCTGTGTGCTGCTCATCATCATGTAGCAGGTCCTTTGCAGAACCTCGCTCTCATCACAGTCTGCCTGAAAGAAACTCGTTCTCTCACTTTCATACTCAAGGAGTCACTTATATCCTGTGCCCATCTTCGTGTCGGTTGGCCCCTGCCCCTCCTTCCTGGTATCATGCCTTCTGCTATAATTTTTTCCAGTCCGTCATGGCGCATGATATGACCAAATTATTTCAGCTTCCGAGAAAGGATGCTGTTTATTAGCCAATCTTCCTTGATGTTCAGATCTTTTAAGATATCAGTATTTCTCCTCCTCTTCTGTGTGCTACTTTATTAATTTTACACCTGTATTTGTTTAATGAAATTGATGTTGCATACATAATCTCTTTCAGTACCAGGCAATTCATTATACATTTATTAGTTTCCCTATACATGGTGTACACTTCCTAAACTTTTCTGCTGTATAAATCTAATGTTATCAGTGTTATAATAATTCCTTTAATCCCATATCTGTATTATTTTAACCACCAAAGATTTCAAGTTGAACACTGTAAAGTACACAGCTTTGAGATTCAGGGTATTATTATATATATGCTGCCCAGCTGTTTAAGCTTCCTGTAATTATCTTTCTCTGCCTTCCTTTGAATCTTTTGTCTACTATTTTTTCTTGACTTCTGCTTAGAGTTTTTATGACCGATCAAAAGCAGTATTCTTCAAATTGGTCTGCGGACCAACCCATGGGACATTTTACTCAGGGTGCGCCAATTGTGTAGCGGTTATACTTGAAACTAAACAGAAAAACTGTAGAATGTTATTGCATTGGTTCTTCTCTCAGAAGCAATACTCTAGCCATGTAAATCAGATTTTCTAGACTTTAAACACCGACAGCATGTGTTGCATAGCTCAGAATTATAATTTTATAAAATGGTATTGAGTAAATAAAACGCTATCTACATTTATATGTTTATTTGTTTCTGTTTTAGTCATCAGCATAATATTCCTCCCATTTTCCCGATCCAAGTACGTAAACAGGTTGAAGAACACTGATCTGTAGTAATGCCTGCACTGTGTTTATCTTAGTGTTTACTCACAACATTATTCTCACCTTTTCATGACCCATTTTCAACCTCTTAGCGCTGTTTCATGGTTAGGGACTGATTCTCATCCTGGTTGTACACTCAGAACTCTGTTAAGCAATCTCTTGACATTACTCTTCCATTTTATCGTTGTCTTGTCTTTAATGTTTCCCTTCTGTATGTTGCCACAATCGACATCACTGCACTTTAGGAATTTCCATGGGTGCTGAAACCTTCATTACTGCAGCCACCCCAAGGTACCCCTACTGATTGTTCCTGTTCTTTTTCTTCTACTGCATTGTATACCCCAATGAAGCATAGGCCCTTAACCAACTCATGTCATGTTGTTCTGTCCTTTGCTGTTGCATGCAGCTCGACCCATGTCCTTTCCATCTTCTCAATGTGTTTTTGATCTGTCTTTATTTCTATGCCTCTGTGTGTTCCAGTGCAAAGATATTCCAGTTACATTGTTCTCAGGTTTTCTCAATATATGTCCTATCCAGTGTCAGTGTATTGTTCCCCTAAATAGTTGCATCTAATGTCTCATGTCGGGACTTCAAAGATGACATAGACATGCTTCTCTTGAATTTACTCCCTCGTAATTTTGAGATTGTTATATTTTTGATATGTTGCTGAAATATTTAATTTGTCCGCTGTTTTTTTTTTTTTTTTTGGGGGGGGGGGGGGGGTGTTTTTCCCCATCTAGCCATCTTTCCATCACTGGTCTCACCAAAGCCTCTGTATTTGATTGTTTGATCTACTGTGAAACACAACCTGTTCTTGTGTACATGAACATCTAGTTTCAAGATGACTTTATAAATGCTTTTTCCTTGTCCAGACATATTTGGCTGCAGTCCATATGGGGAGCATTAAAACAGTTCTTATTGTAGATAATAGTTTTGTTTATGCACACTTTTGGTTTTGTTATGTATAGGCTCTTTTGTAGCAAGTGAACAATGCACAGGCACAAATATATTATGGTCTGGAGAGAACGGTACAGGGACCAGAGACCTAGGGATTTAGTCGACATTCTACACTCAGAGGAAAGGCAAGTCTCATGTATAATCAAACTGCTTCTGGTACTGTTACCACTGGAACTCTTCTTTAGCTGCTGAAGATATTGAGGGAGTGCTTATGGGAATATCCAGAGTGCTGAGATGTTGATTCTTAACACAAATGAACTCTCTCGTTTATTCATCGTTTTTTTTCTCTCCAGTCAGCTTTCAAAGGTTACAGAGTTCGCAAGGTCTTTATTGATCGTAAGAAACTTCTCATGAAACATGAGAAGTTGAAAAAGGAAGCTGCCAGGTATTTGATTTGTTGATTTATTAAACAGTACTTAAACAACTCATTATGTATGTTTTTGAAGTTGCCTGGCCTGCACTGCCTTTTCTGGGCACCTTTTACCTTTCAGCTTTAGCTTTACCTCATTTTATCCTGGCTGTTAACTCAGTTCCCTTTTGTTTTTAGTGTTATTATTTGAACACTTTAGACCCAAATACTTATTACTCTGAACCAGTCTTTCCTCCTGTCTCATGGTTTGTGGAACAGATTTATAAGGTTTGTGATATCGTTTACAACCCTCAACTTTAGAGTATCAGAATTAGAGATACAGGTGACAGATGAAAACCTTAGGCTAGATGATACAGTAGTGTTTATCGATTGTTATGTACATCATAGTGAAAGATCTCGCTAAAGGTTTTCAGCTAGAGTGAAGGGAAAGATCATGGCAGAACAAACTGGTGCTTGTCTTTTGTTTTTTATTACAACTTCAAGCATGAGGATGTAAGCTCTGCAGCAGAAGATGAGAGTTATTAAAGGAAATATAGTGTCAGATTCTCAGACGGTACTGCAGAAGGTTCAGAATGGACAAATGAGGGTTGAGTGGGTACCAAGCAGCAGCATGTCACATTTCAGGGATTCATGTTGATGTACACATGCAAAAGTGTGAGGGAATGAAAGAGCAATTTGGGGGGGGGGGGGGGGGGGGGCTACAAAAGAGATAGCTGCAGGATCACTCATCTGGTAGAAAACACAAGGTTAAATGAAACAACATGTGTGAATACTGTCACTTATTTAATAGATCATTGCGGGTGGAGAGAATGATGTAGCTGGAGTGACCAGAGGTTCTGGCTGACACTCAACACTCGTGGTAAAGGCAAGATGGATGCATAATCAAAATGCTACTGGAACCATCAGCATTGAAATTCTTTGTTGCTGCTGAAGATGGGGATGAAATGCTTATGGAAAGGTCCCAAGTGCTACATGTATAGTGTTAATTCTTAACTCATTTCTGTGTCATTTCTTATATGGATGTTCTTCCTTGCCTTTATGCCAGACTGTTCAGCCTCTTCTTTCTTTGCCTGCCTCTGCCTATTTTCACTTAACCAGTTTATCTTTGTCACATTGTTCTTCAGGTTATAAGTTTTATAATCTCTCCAGCTGATAAATGCTCCCATTTATTGCCTTTTACTTATTCATGATCTGCATAGTATTTACATTTCTGTGAGTCATTCATAAGCCAGGCATTAAATGTTGTTAAATCTTGTATTATCATTGTTGTTGCTTAGGTATATTGATTGTTTTTATTGAAGATATAAATTGCAGATTACATGGCATTTTTATTATTTCACATTGCCATAATAATTGTTTTGATATTTTCTTTGTTGCATTATCACAATGATAGTTGATTTAAAATGCTGGTTTGTTTCCTTGTGCAGTGCTACCATGATTGTTGTTTTACAACATATATGGTTCTAGTTTTATTGCCACAATAATTGTTGTTTTCAAACATATTGTTCTTGTTCCATTGCCGCATTGATTATTGCCACATAACTGATATAATCATCGTTTATCTTTTATTCAGGAAACGAGCAGCTGAGGAGGGCAAGAAGTCTGGAGATGATCTGTTACAAAAAACAGCAGAAACTGCTAGTTTACATTCACAACCTCATGTTGAATTACAAGGGTTGCATCAGAAGAAAGTCAACGATGAACAGTTGCCTTCCTTGGAGCCACGTGGTAATAATTCAGCAGCAGATCTTGTTGCAGAACCAAAAGGCAAACAGTCAGTGGAGGTTCCCCATGCTCAGGGACCTGTAGGACATCATCATCTGCATGAGCAGCTGAAATCAATTGAAACACAGCTGTCCAAGACAAAACTGAATGACGACCAGGCACGTCCAACAAAGAAGCAACATCTCCATCATCTGGGCCCAAGTCTTCAGCAAAAGCAGTTGCAAGATCAAGTTCGTGATTCTAAGCGACAAATCAAACAGCCAGTTGGAATTCGTGAACGACAGGTTGCTTTTAGTTGTGAACAGTCATCATTGGGTAAAAATATAAACTCCTCAAGTGGACCTCAAGAGAAACATTTCAGTGTCCTTGAAGGTGAAAGGATACAAGATTCAACTGAGACACCACAGTTGCAGCTAGCAGAAGAGAGACAATCAAAGCACTTGATGATTTCTAGTCATAGAGTCAGGGAACTGAAGTCAAGTATTGCTTCTTCCAAGAGACACAAGGACAGGGTGTTACCTGCCATGAGATTGCCTTTTAGATCAAAGTGATGAACATGTTTGTGTTAATTTGGGTTGCAAAAGGTCTTTTTTTCCAAGCCTTTAGGTATAGTGGGAATATAGGGCTAGACCTATATTTTTATAGACCAGTCGACACTAGGTAATGGAAGTGGTCGACATCATTCTGGCCGCCTTTACTTCCCGGGACTGCACCTGGTACCCGCTCTAGGCTGGGTCAACCTGGGAGTCAAGGTCATTTTTGAAGAAAAAAAAGTCTTGTCTCTGTCAGGACTCAAACCCAGGACCTTCCAATCTGCATACGGGAGTTTAGCCGCCAACGGCACTGCGAACTCTCATTTTGGGTTGTAGATCAGGTGAAGTATGCATGTTAGTTAGTTAGTTTTTCCTCTGGGACCTAGGGTGGCGAATATGGCAGAGGTCATGTCTCCATGTCTGTCTGTTCGTTGTCACCTATTTTAAGTCTTGGGGGTTTGTCAGACCCATTGTTAGCATTGCTTGATGATGGTTCTAAACAGTCTTTCTTAGTCTTCACAGTTTTCTTGTCCCTTCAAGTGTCCTTATGAGGGCTTGATGGGGAAGTCTTGTCTTATCTATTCTGAGTGCATGGTGGATGTACTTCCAGGGGCGCTTTCTTAAAAAATTGGATACATTGTCTTGCTTGGTCTCTTGTCTTATTTGCGTATTGGATCCAACATTACAGCTAGCAGAAGAGAGACAATCAAAGCACTTGATGATTTCTAGTCATAGAGTCAGGGACCAAAAACCAAGTATTGCTTCTTTCAAGAGACACAAGGACAGGTCTAGTCAAAATTTAATATTCATATCATTTAGAGCTAGAAATCTGATTCTAAAACGAAGAATGTTTCACGATAGCAACTTGTCTGGTTGTCGATCCACGGTTTCAAGACAAGGTAGAAGGAAACACGCCCCGCTATCTTGACTCAAACTGGAAACCCAGATGTGCATGTACAGAAGGGCAATGTTTTGTATTTTTCATTGCAATAAAAATGGTCAAATATAGACGTTGTGTAAATGGGGATATACAGAATATGTAGCCATATTTCACAAAAACAGTGGAACATAATAGTTTTAGACAGATGGGAAATGACAAGAAAATTGTTAAAGGAAATAGAGAGATGAAATGTTTCACTGAATTAAAAACCAACCATAGACACTGTTGGTCAGCTAAAAAAAAAAGCAACTTAGATGTTTTGAAAGAGTCTAGGGTTTAAAGACAACATAAACATCAGGAATAGACAGTCATATTGTTGGGTCATGTTTTGATAAAATGGAAACTTGAACATATTATGACCACTGGAAAAATCTGTGGAAAGAGAGACAGAGGAAGACAGCGTGAGCAGATTCTTGACAGCCTTTTGTCCTGGCATGGAGGTGTGACAACACATGAACTAAAACATGCAGTTGCGGATTGCAGATTGTGAAGAGGTATGATCGCCTATACCAGTCGGCAAGAACTTGATGATGATGATAGAAATAGTATATATCAGCTAAACAAAGCGGTAGATAACAGTACAAGCGATTAGATTGTTTAATGGCTGTAAATAGCAGAGGAAAATTCAGGGTGTTTGTCCATTTCTGGACTTTGAGCTTGTTCCAGAATTTGAGTTTTTTATGCACATCAGTCTTACGTCTGGCATATTTGTATACAGACTATTGGCTCCTTACTTGTGAGACATGTGACCTCTGACTTTGAAGAAAAACACCAAATAGCACCTTGAACAATATGCTTGTTAGAAAAACAGTGGCTCTATACACCGCCTCCCCCTTCCCACTAGCTGGGTCCCCCAGAATCCACATGGGGATGATGCTATCTACATTTATAATTTTTTCTGTTTAAACTGTCAGCTGGTCCACAAAATATTGTTCCCTGTTCACAGTTGGGCAAAACTGAAAACGGCGCCCTTAGGGGACGCAATCTATTGTTTGCTTACAGCTACCATAAGGGACACAACCTATTGTTTGTTTACATTCACATAATAAATTTTCTCTAATAATTAATTTTGCTTCAGGTTTGGGTTTAGAGTTTGAGCTAACCCTAAACCCAAACCATAACCCTAATCTAAAAAAAAAAATATCAAAGAGTTTTTATGTGAACTTACACAAACAGTGGATTACATCCCGTAAATCCCTATCTCCACTTAAGTAATTTACAATAAATTATGTCCTATGGTAAGTTTGTTTCCCCCTTCTGGGATTGTTCTACGTCCTTTTAAGGATGCAATTTTTTGTTATTTGAAGCCCCACCCTGGCTTTTGCCAGGGGCCGCAGTATAGGCAGGCAATTATTAATATGGCCAATTGTCTGAACGCGGTTTCATGGACCTCTTCACGGTGATCCTCATCCACATGGTGGCACCCTGTGTCATCGGGCGTTTATTGCTTGTGTGATGTCCTAGTGGGGAAGAAAGTCAGTCTTCTGGGATAACTGAATGTATATCCAGTTTCGTCCTTTTAGGACATTTTTTGTTATTTGAAGCCCCACCCTGGCCTTTGCCAGGGGCCGCAATATAGGCAGGCCATAAATATGGCCAATTGTCTGAACGTGGTGTCTGGGACCTCTCCACGGCGATCCTCATCCACACGGTGGCACTTTGTGTCATCTGGTGTTTATCACCTGTGTGATGTCCTGGTGGGGTAGAAAGTCAGTCAGTCTTCTGGGATGCAATTTTTGTTATTGTGAAGCCCCACCCCGGCTGTTGCCAGGGGCCCTAACATCACCTAATTATTGGATAGGGTTTTTGGGACCTCC